CATTTTGCAAGGCTGCCACAACCACCACTTATAAATCTTTTCTTTTTGCCATCAACTTTCACCCAAAGTTGGTGAGATATCTACATGATACGTGGAAAAGACAACAAAGCTCAAGAACTCATGGGGATACAGTACAACTTCTTGCAGGCTTCCATCTCCTGATGGTCAGTGGAAAGTTCCTATTTAACAAGTTCCTCTCTCCATTGCAAAACTGACAGTCTGTCCAGAAAAACAGAACATCTGAACAGCATTTAGACCAATTTTGCCATGAAACAAGTGAACTCAATTCCTTGCGTGGGTAATTATGTAAAAAGCCCTACAGGCAGAACTTGGCCTTTCATTACAACAAGCAGCACTGATCCCAGAGTCTGGATTTCCTCACTTCCCTTTAATGCATAACACCAAGGAGAAATCTAGCTACAAAGCCCATTGTGTGCCACAAATAATCAAAATAAGCATTTTGTCATCTACTTTTTTTTTTTTTAATTTTAGGAATATGTGATGGTCTGCTTTCACTCAATTCTTTGCCATCAGTATTACCTCCAAGCTGCTTTAGTTGTTTCATATGAAATGGTGGAATAAGCTCTGAAATCAAAGACTGGAATGGACTGCATTTGACACATCACAGCCTAGATAACATTAAACAACAGTTTTAGTATTCATTGTGGTAAGAAGCCATTTTGGGAGACACCTGTGTGTTTCAAAGCTATTGTTTAAAGCCAAAAGGCCCAATTCAGTAGGTGCTGAGATTCTTGTCCGAGATGCTGATGTGGGTGTATGGGAGGAGTGTTTAGCAGCCTCAGTTCTGATAAAGTCTTGCCCCCTTGTTTAGATCAGCAGCAGATGAAATCCCTGTCATACAGGAAATACTCCATGTCTCTCTGGATGAGTCTGGCAGGGGATTTGTAATAAATGGGAACAGAGAAAAAACTGCAAAGAAGCATTTAATCTTAAAAGTACTTGTGCACTTCTGGAACTGTGCAGAACCAGTTTCATAAGAAGTCACAGTAATTAGAACTTTTGATATCTGGAATGAATATTGCAACTCCTAAGCATAAGAAATAGCTACAGAAGGAGCATAGCCAGCTATAGTGGTGACTTACCTCTTCATTCCTTTCAGCTAGACAAACCCGGCTTTCTTGCATTCTCCATTGTGCTGGCAGCTGACACAGATTTTTAATCTCAAAGGTTCTTAACACACTCTCGCCCTGCTTAATCAAACCTAACCGAAGCGATGGAACATCAATACAAAGAAGTGGACCCTAGGACACCAGGAAACAGATGTCAGAACGGACACTTCTGCCAAAACTGCCTAATTAAGAAGCATACATTAGCTAAGACTAATGTTCAATTTCACAGAGAATAGCAGAAAGCAAATGCATTGTGTGTAATACAGAAAAAATCTTATTGTCATGGGAGTATCAACATTGACTCAATAGTTACTAGACAGCAAAAATACCTCCTGTTTGTAACTGCTTTAGATTTGTCAGGCCTTTAAAAGGCAAAAAGTTTTACATGGACAATAGCCAGGCCCCACAGCTAGTCATCCTGCAACACTGAACTGTTCCTTACCTTAAAAGCAGCCTCAACATGCAGTACAACTGGCTCTAGACAGTGTTCAATTTTACACTGCAGGTTATGGCTGATGCACCCAGGTTTGCTTCCAGTAATTGCCAGTTCAAATTCACAGAATTTATTCACATCTAGAAAAGAAAAATTCAGGGTCCTGTCTCACCGTTTTGTAAAGAAACCACCTGCTGCAAGCCTGTTACAGTAACTTCTGGAACCAAATTAAGTCTCCTGTTGGCTCCAGTGGGCTAGAGATCAGGTCTTGTTTTGCAACGTGCATTATAGTGCTCTGTGACTTTTCTCTTCCACTCGTACCAATTTAAACATTTCTGCCATTAGCTGATGCTTGCAAGTCACAGAAACTTTACCTATGACGCCAGTATGAGGTTCAACTTCCATGATGTCACAGGGAATGATTTTCTCCCATGTGTACTTGATCAATGATTTGCTGTTATTCCACATCTAAAACGATTAAAATCAACAAGACAATTAACGCACTTTAAGCTTTCATAGCAACAAGCCAATTTGCTGGGAGTACTGCGAACTAGGTATTGCAAGTCTTACATTACATACTTTGCAAACTCTAACCATATCCTGATCACCACTAAACATTATGACCTACTAATATACCTTGAATCTAGCTACAACATACTGTATCTTCACCTGAATCTTGAAATAAACTGAGCACGGTAAGAGTGGAAAGGTACAGAACTTCATCTAACCTCTGACTTGAGCAGTATTAACTCAGTGCCATGCACTAACTACTGTTATTTTTATGATAATGCTGTTTCCTTCCTTTCCTTTCCCCTCTGTGATGTAAAACAAGGACAAGAAGAAGTAGGATTCACCTGACTGGATTTCAGGTGTCTGCAAAATAGGTAAGAGCTCTACATCTGACCTCATCTCCTAGGAATTCTCTTTTCTGAAAATAAAGCCAATTAGACAATGCTGGGAGCAATTCCTCTGACCTATTTTAGCCTGTGGGATGAGATGAATCACCCCCCGGATGCTGCCAACCAGATCTCCACGGACTCTTAAGAAGAGTTTAGAGCAGGTAGGTCAGATGTGGAGATCTATGCCGAAAGCACTATATTAAGTCAGATGAACTCAGTGGCTACCTTCACACTAGTGAAGGTGTTTTCTGAAACTTAAAGAAAATCCATTAACCATTCTTTTCAAGAACTTTATCATATTTGAAGCCTTTTAAACTTTTTCCCCATTTTTCAAAAATGTTACAAACCTTCAAAGCTTAAACTTCAAATCCTTCTTTTGAGAGCAGCCTTTTTTTGCCAAAGGATCTGTGAGGGAGATGTAAGCTCTTGAAATCTTTGGCCTGCTCTTCAGATCTATTCAGACATTATTTCTTAATTACAGCAAATAACTTTGTTCTCTGAAGCACAATTATCTCTAAGCAGAGTTCAAATTCCTATCTTTTTAAGACTAAAAAAACAATGGGAAACTGTGAGGAATGTAATTATATTATCAGTAAGTGACTTAATTACCTATGCCACATGTGTAGCTATACCAGATTATTGGAAAGTATGAAATGGCTGTCTTAAGTTGAAAAAGAACTTCTAGGAAGAGAAAGCATAAAACTGAACGCTGATTAGCAGTATCTTTAAGAAAAAATGGGAAGACCATTAACTGGGAAATGTCTTCCTGCCTGGCTCTTGCTAACAGGCCTATTTTTCTGAAGTGAGTCTAAGATCAAAAGGACCCTGATCTATAGTGAAGAGGATGCTGAGTGAGTGGACAATTGCAGCAGCAGTCTGTCCCATAATGGTCAAACAGAAATTATCAGAACCTGGAGGAAAGAATAAGGTTTAGTAAGCTGCAGCATATGTGACTTTTGTAGCTCTTCTGTGCTTGCTGTAGTCCTTTGAATGCACAGTGCCTCTCTTATGAAGTAATTTAATCATGCATTGGCTATTCCTCCCAACCGGAAAACTTTTAAACTACAGGAGTGACAAAATGATAAGCAACAGGTTTGTGACCCAGAAGAACATTTAGAAGGGTAAAACTCTGTGGTATCAAACTTGAGAGATGAAAAAAGAACAAAGCCTGCTGCTTGGACTGTAGGGCTGAGGAGGCTTCCTCAGTGATTTCAGTACAGACCCTCCTGGAGTCACTGCCTCCTTCAAAAATATTTAAGAAAAACTAAAATGACATGGATTGTCTGATATCTTCTAATAACACCTATGACATCTAGTGACACAAAGCACATGGTAACAATGAAGTCAAAACCAAACAAACCTTAAATGTCTTTCTGACATTTACACCAATAAAGTTTTCTCCAGGGACGATAATGGCGTATGGTTCCAGAAGAAGATGAAATGGTTCTGTTGATCCTTTAACTTCTATTTCCAATGCTATTACATCCTCTGATTTGCATTCTGGGATGTTTTGAAGCATCCCCTCTTTTACCAAACTTTGGGAGGAAATACGGTAGAATTATTAAGCATCTTAAACTGGTGTTTAAACTGGATCCCGTCTTTTAATTGCCAGATCAGATCTGAAAATCACCAAAAGTTTCTCAACTACAGACTGCCTGTGTGCAGTTAGCTCAGACTGGGAACAATTAAAAACTGGAAAAATTACAGTAGTTCTCTAATGTACTCTCGTCGTCCCAGTCTGTTCACGAACAAGTAAGCAAGTCATAGACTGCTGTGACAAACAGTAGTAACAGGAAAACTTGCTGGAAATCTCAGCAGAAAGCCTGGAAAATGAACAGACAAAATGACAGTATTATATTTTTCCAAGAGAGGTGCAGCCCTAGCTAGGGCTAAGGCATGTGTTCAGACATGAGGGAAGATCACAGAGATGCTCTTTGTACCACTATTAGTTGTGCAGATAAAATCCTTTATAATCGTCAGTCCACCATCTCCAGAAAGATGAAGAATCCCAGTAACTTAATGTAATAGCATAGCTAAAATGTGGCTACACATCTTACCAGGAAATACTGTTTCTCAGCTTACCAAGGTGATTCTGGGATGTCCCTCAGTACCATCTGAATCACACTGTGATAATTCTTCAGCTACACACATGAAGAAGGAGAGGATTTTAATGTCAGTAAACAGTTATGTTGAGGATTAAAAAAGATTAAAAAGTAGTTTACATTTAAAGGATGAACTATCACCATCAGTGCACTAAGCTCTGATAAACAATATTCAAACTTTAGAGTTACTAAAAGAAAACATGTTTGACTACAAAATATTAAGCCAGATTCTGATCTCATGGTGTATGGTTCCAAGAAAAATACTCATTTTTGACATGCCTGTTATTATTTCCCTAGTATATTGCATACTACACACAAGCATCTGCAAACGCTCCCCAAATTAAGATCAGTACTGCTATACTAACTTAAAGTTTCTTCTAACCACTCCAGGGTATTTAGCTTAATTAACCATCAATCTATTTTGAGTAAGAAACTCTACTTTTCCAACATGGCAAAAGAGGATGCCTTCTATATTCTAATGGGGGGAAAAAAAGGAAATACAGAAGCAGGCCTTAAATTTGAAAGGCTTTGCAAAAGATTCATTTGTTTGTAGAGCGATATTAATTTAAGTGTATATGTTAATTCAATATATTTTTGTTAACAAATAAAAATCTTGACAATATCATTAATATATTTTTCTAACTAATTAAAGTATTTCAAAAAGCCAGTTAGTTTCTCTTCCATACTTACTTGAGGTATTCTATCAATCACTACAGCATAAGATACTCCCACTCTTGGGCTTTCTTTGGATCGAGTTTCTTTAAATACAGTGAGCTCATGCTCCTTATTTACACGGATAGCAGAGCAGAATCTAAGACAACAGTCACTGATACAGCTGCATTCAAACATCGTTGCACCCCTCTTTATCCACAGCTGCATACCATCATTTCTCTGCCAAAAGCTACTACTACCCCCTTAATTTAGCACACAGCTGTTCACAGGGCCCATTTCAGCCCAAAAAAGCTACAGTTGGAAACAGTTTAAATAATCACTGTTTGCTAACCAAACTTGTTTAGGCTGCAGTAGGTATGGGGCACATCCCCAAAGCAGCTCACTCAGCAGATGGGAAGGGTCAGGAGATTGTGGAGGAGCTGGTAATGTGAGAGTGGTAACTTTACCAGCCAGCACAGCTGCAGCTATGAGGACGTGTCCACAGTTTCAGTGTAAAATTAATTCTGTTCAATCAGTACCAAAAATGACATGAGATCAGAAACTGTCTCAGATTTTGCAGTCAAAACATGTTTTCTTCTAGTAACTTTCTACATTTTGAACACTGTTTATCAGAGCATAGTACCAGCTAATTAAATTTAATTCAGAAAGCTGCACAGCAAGGATTTTATTACTTGCATAAAAACAGCTGGAGTTTGTAGATAGGAAGGAATCACAAGCCATACCTCCTGTGGAGTGTAAGTGAGAATAAACTCATGATCAGCATGGGGAAGCAAAACTCCCTGCTCAGGATTTAGGAAGAAGGCTGACTCTGTGTCTCGATTGTACTTGAGCTTCATAAAGTCTGCAGTTTCTTCGGGTATTAATGGTTTCAGATTAGGCTTTATTATCTGCCAGTAGAAAGGAAGTTCTATGTGGCTGCAAAGATATCAATAAACAACAAAAAGCTATGATTAAAAAAATCAGATATTATTGAGTAAAATATTGGGAGAAAATTTTCAGTTCCTTTTTCCATGTAGGGAATTCCTCTCCTTCAAAATTACAGGGTTGAGACGTACCAGTCTTTGTGAGCTACAAAGCTGATGAGGCAGCATAGATCAGAGTATATAAATTGTACAAAGAACATGCTAATATATGGAAGTAAATTATATAAATGTGCAAGATATGTTAACACTTTCTTGCCTTATCTAACTTGTCAGGTAACGCAACTTTCAGGAAACTTTACAATTCTTCTTTCAAGAATCTGAGATCAACATATCAGTATGTTTGCATTGGATCACTGCTGATGGTCTACATAACATTCTGAATTTAATCCAAGTGCAAGCTGTGGTCTTTAACATACCAAGAAACACAGAGGCTCCAGCTAAGATCATAGCAATGGCTCTGCAATATTCCTCGTAATCCAGAAAAGGTTGCTTAACTGCGTTGCTTCAGCAGAAGTGTATTCCTTGGAATGTGTTCATGGGTTTTAAAACCTTGCTCATACTGACCTCAAGAACTTTGCCTTACTAAGGGGAGGAAGGACACTGGAATTTGGAAGTGAGTATCAATGACATAAAACTGAACATGTACAATTTCTTGTATCACTTTCCATAGCAGTCTTTCCTGCTTCTGTGGAGTTCAGTCTCAGCCTGTCCAGCTTTGTTTCACACAAACGCTGACACCAGATGTGCAGGGACTGCTGTCAGGATTATAACACAGGGAAAATGTGGAAATTGGCATAGTCACACCCTTTGTCAGTTTACAGTATCCAGTTCACTGAATCACACTTTCTGTACCCAAACAGTACTCTGTTCTGGCATTATGCATGTGTGGTTTCCAGGACACAAAACAAACTTCCAGAAATTCACTGTAGCAAGTAGCGATTTACATGAATGTATCTAAAACCAGCACTGACCTCCTCACTGCTTTGATGGCCTGCAGCCTCTAACTACTGCAGTCATGCACATTAGTGCACTTCTATTATTGTCCAACTGATTTTGATCAAAATCAGGATTCCACTATGTTCAGTACAACGTAATTGCACATAGGGACATATTCCTTGACTTCAAGTAGTGTTTATATTTAAATCTATTAGGACTCAATAGTAGGAATCCTCGGAAAGTTTTAATATGAGCTAGTTACATTTGGTTCGTGTTTTAATCAGTGGAGATCCAGTGGAGTCCAGGACGCATTATGTCTTGTTCTATGGGAGATGTCTACAGTCAGAATTGCATCCTTAAAAGCATTATTTCCCTGCACTATGAAAGGAAAAGAGTACAGGGTGCTTAGCTCAGTTGCACAAGTATACATTGTAGACATGTAAAGTTAGATAAATCCCATCTGGATGACCCTGTTAAATACTTCCTGCAACCATCCATATTTATGAATCTTTTGCAGCTGTAGATTTATCTATACTGAGGCAAATATGTTGACCTTGGTAGTGTATGAGCCAAATGGTATCACTAATGGTTGCCATTATGTTTGATCTATATATAATGTTCCCGCTCTTACAAGCATATCCTTGAACCTTAATTACAAAACAATGAAGCAAGAAGAAGCAAGGCTTCTGCACAAAGTTTATCAAGCGTACAAAGGTTTCTCTAGCTTGAGAGAGGATGGTATCAAAAATGAGATCCCTACCAGTATGTTCAGACTGCAGAGCATTACTCTATTAATAGTAGCTACGTACGTAGAGTTTCTTATAACCAATTTCTTCTCCTCGGTGGCATGTGGGTTTTGGGGGTCAAATCGTATGAGATGCTGTGCTGTTACATCAGTAACTTCACCGGGTCCAGGTTTGCTTTCTCCACCTGTGACGAACAAAAGCTCCAGAGCTATCAGCTGTCCAACCCCTTGAAGAAATAAGTAGGTATTACTGTTTACCATCTGGCTATTAACACTGTTCATATTACTTATTAAAAGCAAATGCCAGCAATGGCCATTACTGATTATATTTGGTGTTTCCTCAAGTTTCAGAACTCCAATGCATTAATTGTACAATATTTTCCTGATGTTCTTTGTTCATCAACCTATATCAATAGAGACCTTCTCTTGATGAATTTAATAGATTTGGATTTCAGGGTCACAACCTCAGCTCACTTACATCAGCATCGTTCATGAATTTAATAGATTTGGATTTCAGGGCCGCAACCTCAGCTCACTTACATCAGCATCGTTTAACTGAAGTGCGCAGAACATTTGCAATGTTTGATAATGTGGCTCCCAGATGTTTTGAGCAGTATATTAAAATAAAAATAAAAATAACCAGCAAATGCACTAGTAAAAAATTTCCAAAGGAAATATCTGCAATAAAGTGATTAAATAGACTACAAGTCAAGCCCAATGTTACAGCACTCACAATTACATTACAGGACAAGGACTAACATTTACAAGAATTTCAACTGGTTTCATTAGCTAATCCAAAGACTGCCTATCTCTTCCTGAATACCCTAATCCAAGACGTGCCCCAAATTTGCTTCACACCCAAGCGTATGTTAAAGTCCTGTTAAAGCTGATGTTTTATAGTTTGTCATGTTACCTTATCGATACAAAAGCCTAAGAAACGAATTGCACCTGGCTACAGGAGTTCTTTTCTGCTACTTGGTGACATTTTACATTTGGATTTTTGGCTACAGTGGGTTAAAAGCTCAGTGCTTTCTGAATCCCATGTATTTCATGCACTAGGATGGAGTAGCAATAATAGCTATAAAAATGCTTAGCATTTAACACGTCAGGGGACAAAGTATTTGCTTAATCCAATGACATAAAATCTTATCATCACTTCAAGCCATCAACCACCACCCACATTATTTGAGTATCTACAGTGTTAGAAACATGATCTCTGAAAGGTGTTAGAAACAAACCTGTGACTGTAACATCATTGACTTGGTAATTGTCACAAACAATGGTGTATGTTTGCTGTGAGACTTCCGGAAAAGAAGGGAAAAACACTACCTGAAAGAGAGAAGTGAAATAGCAATGTCTGTAACTGATTTCTCTCCAGGAAGTAATAAACTTCAATTCGTAAATGTTCACTAAAGGACAGTTCTAGTGATTAGTAATTAATTCTTACATTTGCAAGAAACAGACAGTGTCACATTCCCTTAATGCAGAACAGAAAGAAATAGGTGGTTTCTGGGTCACTAAACCTACATGCGTGTATCTGGATGGTCACCAGAGGCTGCCTTTGTAATCACAGGACGTGTGGGCAGTCTACTGGGTCAGTTGTATGAATTGCACCCTCAGAATTGAATCTGCCCTCAGTCACTTACTGGGCAACGCCACTACTGCCTGTCAAGTTACAACAGTGTGACCAGGGCAGCTGCTGTGTGCTTTCCCTGAGCTCCACCTCAACAAAAATGGTTCAGGGGCCAAAACCTTTGGCTGTGCAATGTGCACCATTGTTATTCTATCTCTTACCCATTACTGCCTGCAAACCCAACCCATGCTAAATCCATCTCTCTCTCCCACATGTACCTGGCCCTGCTGAAGCAATGCATCTGGGGAGACATAAAGGAGGAGAAATGTTTCTCCTTTATCCACACCTGCCTGACCCGTTCCTCTTATCAACAGCCAGGAAGAACTGGAAAAAGGAAGGGCTGGAGGCTAGCCATATTCTCCATAGCACTCTTCCTCTCCTCATAGTGATACTATTATAAAATGTGGCCCACATCAGAGAAAGCAGTGGTGGCAACCAGTCATGTACACCTACTGCAGGACCTTTTTCAGGAAAGAGCACAGCATAAGTGAAGGATTTGTACCTGCTGCTCTACAATGAAAGAATTTTTTTCCTCATGTGTCCTTTTTTTCCAAGGAAGTTCAGAAAGGAAAAGTTTCTTGGACTTGACACTGCAGATGGAGTGAAATAAGAACTCCTGTGTCCTCAGATTCCTGTTTTCTCTATCAGGATTCTTTATGTGGGGAAAATCTGACTGGTCTCTGAGTGGCTAAGCAAGACTTGGAAGTTGCAATGAAAGACTCTCCAGTAAGACTCACAATTGCAATTCTTCCAGCATAATTGCACAAAAGGATTTGAGCATTTTTGCTCACGCAAACCCAAATCCGCAAGGTCCAGCCAAGATCTTCTACAATGTTCTTGTTTGCTAATGTATTTGGTAAAGTACCAATACTTTCTATAGCAGTTGGTACTAACCTCTACTGTTGTACTCTGCCCTGGAGCTAGCTCAAAAACAGCAGGATGGATCCCAAAAGGATCTTGTATCACAAAACCAACAGTGGCAACAGCCTAGGTTTTTAAAAAAAAACAAAAAGAAAAAAAAGAAAAAAAAGAAAAAAGAGAAAGATTAATAAATTAAATTGATCAGGTGGTTGTTTTTAAAATAGGGTTTAGGGTTACCTAAAACAGCAGTGTACTACATCACCACTGTTCTACCTCTTACTGTAATTTTTTTTCACACATCTCAAAAGTATGTGGCTTATGTATATGGCTTAATTAGAAGAAATGCTCCATGCTTTATAATTACCTGGGTGAAAGCAGGAGGGAAGGTGCTGTCTCCAAAGACAAATGATAGTGCCAGGAGCCCTAATATTCATATTTACAGAAGAACAGCTATGCCTGAGCGTAGGAGCTCTGTTTGTTTCTCCACGCTTATGACTCACTTCGAGTTGGAACTGTAAAGCATTTCAGGGAGGACAATCTGGCACATCAACTATCCCATTAGCCTTTTCTCCAGCACAAAAAATGCCAATCTACCACTCACATCTTATCTTCTTTGTCTGTTTCACTTAGACCCTGTTTTGTGATGGGAAGTTAAAGACAGAACAGTACTGGAGTGGACTGCTAGGGTCTACAGGTGCAGCAAGGTCAGTAAGTGAAACCTCTGGTGGGTAGGGGGAGGAAATCAGCTCAAGCAAGGCTAGAACTGATTGCATTTCTATTTGCTTTAAGGGTAAGATTAAAGTTCAAGCCAGTTGTCCTTTCCCCTCACCACTGAGCAAGACAACTTCTTCCAGAGGCAAGCCAGAGCACAAGCAGGAGGTACGGACATCCAGGGAGATTGGGCTCGAGTATAAATGTGAACCTCTGAGGGAATGGAACAATACAGTGTCCCCAGCAAGGCCTTATTACTTGCTAATATACCATGACTAGATTAAAGGCCTTCACGTCAGGGCATCTATACCACACCATGTCCAGTATTTCCCTTCTAATCACTCACCCTGAAATTAGGAGGTGGCCAGGCTTTCTTTGGCATTATACAGAACTTCCCAGTGCTAAATCCCTCATTTCTGCACAAAATCATCCTTACTTTTATTCCTCCAACAAGGCAGGAACCACAGTCTATAATGCGAGGCACTGCAATGAGTAACACAAAAATCAGACTACACAGTGAAGGCTAGCAGCTGGCAAAGCCAGTTCTTAAATAACTCGTTAAAGACAACATTACTGCATATGAATACGCTAGGTGCTGCAATCCTAAAAAGCCTTAAATTCTTTCCGTTTGAAAGTTAAACAGTATGAGGTGCATATTTCTACATTCATCTTACATTTTAACGGTGCTTCCTACATAAAGACTCCATTGAATGACGACAAAAAGTAAGATGATTTTTAAAAAAGCTCAGTATAACAGGAAAGGTGAATTTACAAAAAATCAAAGCAAGTTTCTGCAAAAATAATCCTGGTTGTTACCGTTGAGGCTAGATATCTGAGAGGTGAATCCTGCAAATATGTCATACCATAAATAATTAATGTAACATTCCATGAATATTAATTAATAGCATCAAATATTCATAACTAAATCATAATTCCTTAATACTTAGGATTAGTAATTACAGTTAGGAGTTCAGGAATCAACAAGACACAAACCTAGAAAAGTGGCTCCTGCTCACTCCTTTAATACAATTTAAAAAACATAAGCTTGATGTGGCAAGAACAAATAATTGAGGAAAAATTTGACAGGATTACCTTTTAATAACTAATAAATCTATTATGAGTGAAAATGAGATAGATATAAAAATGTAGAAAATGCACTGCCAAGTTTGTCCACATTCGTTTTGTGACATATAATTGGAGACAGTCAAACAAAAAAAAAAAGTCCATTTAACTTTAGAGAAACTTAAGAATTGGACATTACTGACATGTTAACACTGGAGGTAGTCTTTTAGCTTGGATTGGGATCAGAAGAGGTTCTGATACTTGAGTCTTCACTAACATACAATCTTCATAATCTCCTAGATATTCAGGAATAAATTGGACCGTATACTGGCATGTCATCCCAGGAGCAATCATTCCTCCCTTTCCCGGAAATTTTCCTTGAAAAAAAAAAATGCAGAGAATTGAAAAAATTAAAACCTCCCAAAGTTGGCATATGTATTTATGATCACATCTCCCTCTGGAAAGGTGCCTGTAAACTCTCCCCATTTATTGCCTAAGTCAAGCTGATGAAAACAAATGACCACAAAAGGCCTGCCAGTGTAATCTCTGTACATGCATATCTTCCACTGAACTCAAAGATTTTTTGTCTGAAATATGCTTCTCATAACTACAGAAAATCGAGTGAGGAGAAACGTAGAGACATTACCCAGTTTTCCCCTGCTACAAGACAACAAGGTTTACATGGGGGCATCTAATTTCTCAATACTCCTCCAGTGTTGTGACTGAGATACCACCATCTCCTTAGGTAATCTATCCCAGTGCCTGGCTATCCTACTATAGGAAAGATGTTTTTCTTAACTTCCCCCTGACCTAACCTTCCTTGCTGAATTAAGTTATTTCTTTCCCTCTCCCCCTAATGACTTCAGTGGAAACTACATCTGTTCCTAGATGAATTTTGGATAAAACTCAATCTAGGTATTCCACAGATACATTTCAATCCAGCTTCAAACACTTCAATGTTAGTTAGTCTCGAATTCCTCATTAGACCATTTGAATCCGCTTATGAGTTGCATGTGAATGGTCCTAGAGACCTAAGTCAACCTTCAGTTTCTAAAGAACTGAGCACTATGGATAGCAGAACCAAACAGAACATCTCTGAAAAATCTTTGTCCAAGCAGATAAATTAGATCTCTTATGTGTTAACATCTTACAGGCAGTAAAAAGAACCCTTACCTGGCCCAATGGCAAATGCTGAAGTAGAGGGGGGGATAAGTCTTACATGATGGCATGTTGAAGTGATGTTCTGTAGCTCTATAGTCATCTGAATTTAAAAAGAAAATAAAATACTCCATCGTATTTATCATCACTCATTATAATGTTTGCAATTCCCTAGTACTCTGCTAGTAGTAACTAATTTTTCATCGCAACCAACCTAAAAATCTGTTTATTCAATAAAGGCTGAATCAGATACTACCAAAACAAAGCAGAGACTGAAAAGGGTCCCTGTTAGTTTTCACTGGTTAGTGTGTCAGTGGCATCTGCGAAAGAGTATCTTCAAGGAAGCTAAAGGGTCATTAATTCAATATAAAGAAGAAACTCAGACTTCTGTTAAACTGCAGCAAGCCAAAAGATTGGGTGAAATATGTAGATCATGGCAGGACATAATGCTTCTCTGGTAGAATTAACTCTCTACAAAGAAGTAAGTTCTCACCTCATAAACCTGGCCGACTTCATAATCAGAAAACAAAACAGCAGGTGGATTGGCAAGAAACACAGGAACAAATGAGGTATCACTGAAAGATAAAAAAAAAGAGACATTATCTTACTGCCTAGTTCTTTAAATACTGATAAAATGAGAAACTGCAAAATGTATCCCTTCGCAAAAACAAAATGTCATACAGACATACTTTGTTTCCTAAGAGACTATACAGACATTTAGCTCAAAATACCTACATGTAAATCCACAGTAATTCTATAGTGGAGCTCTCTGTGTGCTCCAGCTCAGAATCAAGAAGCTGTATATACTGCATACCCTTTATTATCTTCTGCTTTTCTTCTGGCTATAGTTTGTTCCACCTTTTCTTGAGAAATGACAAGAGATTTGCCTCCATGAAGAGCATTTGGTGGGAAAAAGCGGGGGTTCTTCAAGTAATTCTGTCTTTTCTCAAGTTTGGCAAGGTAAGCACGCTCACTTTCTCCCTCTGCTTTGCACTTACTATCTTTCCAGGCTAGCTTCTGCGAGGCACTAGTTTTCTTTGAAAAACAAAGAGATCATGGTGCAAAATTAAGCACGGCAATTTTGAGGATGATGAAAAAGGTATCTGTACATGTCTAATTAAAGCTATACAGCATTGAAAATTCATGTAGAAATATTGTATTTGTCTTTTCTTAACAGATCAAACAAAATTAGTACTGGAGCCAAATCAACAATGCATTGATATTCACCCTCTGTTACAGGAACAGCAACAGGCCCTACAGTTCTGACAAAGTAAAACAAATAAATCTGTAAAATGTACCTTACTTGTCTTTTTAGTCTGGTGGCTAGAGTCTGGAGTTGAAGGCAGAGTTAATGTGCATAAAGACACATTTGGCAGACTACCAGATATTTTCTGTAGGTGTGCAATCTCTGCAGGCATCTGGTCCCGTGAGCCTGAACATACACGCTGTTTAAAACTAAATGTCTCTTTGATGTAGCCAGGTTCTGATTTTCCTGCAATTCAAAGAAAAATTTAATTCTATAAGAGAAAAACATGAATTATAAGCATTTATTCTAAGCATAAGTATGAATTTATTTTAGTCTTGTTGATGGTAAAAATACACTTTAAATCCTCTAGAATTTAATTTACATTTATAATTTATTTTGCACAAATGAAGCTTAGCACTTTAATAAGAAAGCTTTTAGAAATACTAATTAAACAAGCTATATACAAAGAAAGTTATATTACTCTCAGAAAGCTATGTTAATCTTACAAATGAGTGGAACTTAGAATGTCCTGTTCAGTTTACAAAAAATTCTGTGTGATGGACTTATGACAGTCAGAAAATTGACATAAACAGTATGTACCAACTAGTCCCATGTTTCTATAGGTAGAAAGAAAATTGCCACCTCAGAGGAAACTCTGAGATGTTAGATTTTTGGCTTTGTTTGGAATTACAATGGACAAAAAATCCAAATCTTGGAATTTGTGACTAAGTTGATTACTCTGAAATGTTTGTTTTGACTTGACTGAAAAATTTCATTTTATTGATACTAAAACCTTTCACCTTGACTCACCCATGAGTAAAAGAAGTAAAGAAGTCTTGACATTGCCCAAAAGATTTTTCTTACTGATCTTCATTTGCAAATTAAACTGATATGTTTCCAGAACTGGAAAATTTTAAACCCAAAATATAGAATTCTATCTCACTGAAAATAGTTTTTACTTTAATGTAACCACTTCCCTTCTCTGTATACAAGATATAATTGCAGCTTTGTGCTAACGAAATTGAATAGAGGGAAGGGCAGTCACAATTAATACAGTTTTTGTGTCAGATGGCAAGAACTGTAAACAAATGTGCGACAACCATTAAATTTCATATTAAAGCACATTGAAACTCAGTAATTTTTAACAATTTTATTTTGATAATGTCCTTTTAGTGGAATTTTGTGCTTGTAATACTAGAGTCCCTTCTGCTTTGGCAGAAAACTATAAAAATATACTCAGATCTGCTACATTCTCCAATGCTTCAATTCTTATAGAGTGTTCTAAAAAGTCTAAATTATTCTCTGCTTTAGAAGTTACCTTTTGGTGCTTTAGTAACAGGTAATTTATCAGTGATGTAATCATCAGGGCAGGTTAAATGATTTTTTCTGAGAAGTTCATTACCCACAATCCACCTAAAAGAGGATGCCACTGCAACAGTAAAACAAAAAAAAAAAATTTCAAAAATGCAAAAGCTTAGCCCCTTAAGATAAACTATCTTAATCAATCCAAAGTAATGTTGTCTTTATAACTCATCACTATCAGGTAATATTTTTTGACAGAGAAACAGTCTGGTCTTTTAATCCCAAGACTTGGACATGCATCTCCACAATTCTAAATTCAGTTCAAACCCAGCTATGCAGCCATCAGAGAAACATTTAATCTCTGTTCGTTGCTGCTATGTATCAAAGTGTGTATGCCTGTAATAAAGTTAGGTGGTAAGCCATTAATTGCAAATTTAATACCTTGAAAATGACCTGGTCATTTAGTTTCTTACAGCGCTAAACAGATGTTACTCTACTTGAATCTCTGCACAAAATCCTTCAAAGTTGCTCTATTGATGTAAAGCCAAACTAAAAGCTCACTGAGTCTAGTGACAGTCCTACCAGTGATTGAGACAAATGTTGCATTCATCTCCAGGTATCATAAGCATGTACTGGGGAGAGACAGTATTTCCAGACTCCTCACCTGGTGGCAATCCCATTTTGTGGAATTCTTCCCCCGCATCTGCCTTCAGCATGTTTAGGGCCCTTTCTTCTTCAGCTTTTGCCTGATCCTGGGCCTGAATGATGTTCTCTTCTACTATGTCAGCTTCTGTCAGTCGGCACTTATATTCAGCAAGAAGCTGTCACAGGCATGGGTGAATGTAGAGAAATGAGTTTGATTTGAGCTGTCACAAATTATTAAAGATCTCCTTGCAGATAAATGTTTTCTATTTCCCTTTAAGAGGTAGCCTGGTGAAACATCACTACTTTACAAGCATAAACTGGCCTGCTAAAACACTGTCATTCCTATCATTTAACTTGTGCTGGGTAAGAAGCACTACCCAAGAAAAACGTATGAAAGATGAGGAGGCTCTCTCAGGACAAGAGAAATGTCTTTTACCTTCTGTGGGACAGTAGCAAATGCACTGTATTTGGCCTAACAGTGTAGGATTAAATTTAAACTGAATGCTCCCTCCTAGTTACTAGGAAGGTTTTCTAAAACTCCAAAATATCCCAACAGTGATACTTCACTTCTCCTGACATATTTTGGATCACTCTGCCCAGTGTAGTAAGTGCTTTACAAGCACAACTCAAAAAGAAAAATCCTGCCTCAAAGAGGTATCAATGTAAGTTAAAGAGAGAATATAGCAGAGGCACAGAGAAATACAAGACCAACACCAAGAGAAACTGATGGACATTGGTCTCAAGAGTATCTGTAGCCTAACTGAGCTTTCTGGAGAGCTGTTATGTAACAAGGTTTAATCTTTTGGCTCATTTAATAGAACTAAATAATTCATTTAATAGAATAAAATAATTCCATTTAATTTTTTAAATAGAAAGGGTAGGACGCATCTCGGCTAAAATGAGATGCTTCCTCCTGTCCTGCTTGTTCTGGGATCCCTTCACTGTCACTGGAATCCAGGAGATGATCCCACCCGATGCCAAAGTTGCTACCTAAAATGGATCAGATGGATTGTGCCCTAAAAGTGCCTGGTTTGGTGTTTTTTTTTTCTTTTTTCTGATGATACAGAGAGCCTTGGGTGACTAGTTCAGCTGTAACATACATGTTACAGACATGTACTGTCAGTTGAAATGAACCTTATCCAAGCAGAAGTAGTCCATTTATTACTGAGAACATACTGTGTCCACCAATACATTCATAAATGACTCAGAAGAAATACAAAACTTCAGATTTTTCACGTCTGATAACCTTTGAAGAGGGTAGGATGACACAAAATGGAAAAAATACCTGTTGCTCAAGTCATCCAGCAATAGCCTCTACTTTTATACACTGACAATAGCTATCAGAGCAATGATTAATACAAGTATTTTGCATTTCTACTGTTGATTTCATCCAAGATTCCCAAACAGCGTTGCAAATGCTAATGGATTATGTGTCATAGCGCACCACTAAGGTAAGCATATATAAATAATATTTGCAGCATCTGGTTTCAAAATGCAGCACATGAGAATACTTTACTGCAAGATAGGAAGTCTAGTACACTGACCAGCAGTTACAGGGAGAAGTTGTCAGTGAGCAGAATAGGCATTTAAAGTGCTATTGGTTTTACTGGTTTTACTCTGTGTCTGAAAAGCCGTCCAGAGCTAGGAATATCATGAAGGAGCATGTAGTGAATATTAATTTATATGAAAGGCTCTGTGGGAAACTGCTCAAGTAAATTTCCATTAAAATGTCAATTCTAGGACACCCCCCCCGCCCTTTTATTTTATTTTACAGAAGATCTAGAAATTACGAAGTAGCAATGAAAGCTGAACCGAGCTCCAAACTCTGACTTGCTTTCGACTTGTACCTTACCTTGCTCCTCCGTAAAAGTCTCATGATAAACATCGTCTCCTCCTCGGGACTTGATCCAGTTTCTCTCCATGTCCACCCCGGTAACATCTCCAGTGTACAGGTCCTCAAAGGTGCTAGCCAGCAAGTGGGAGATGTCCTGAGGAAAAATGAGGATGTTAGTGCTTATGGCCTGAGACAGGATTGGAGGAGGTCCCCAGGCGAGACATGAGGGCACGTGCAAACAGCTGGAATTAGCGAACCAAGGAGGAAAAGTGGGGGAAAAGGGCTTGCAAAGGTACCCGGGAAGTACCCCAAAAGTGAACACTGAGGTGTGGAGGCATGTAAGTATGTGCGTGTGTGTGTACACAAGGAAAGGTACCCGGGAAGTACCCCAAAAGTTAACACTGAGTGTGGAGGCATGTGTGTAAGTATGTGCGTGTGTGTGTACACAAGGTTGTGCACACACACGGACAGTGTGCCTGTGCTGGCTGGCTGTACGTGTAGGTGATGGTGGCGGACACGTTCTTCTGTGTGCATACAGCGTGTGCGTGTTCCATGGTTTATGTAGGAGTGTGTGTGTATGGGGCTGTGGAGTGTGCAAGGGAGAGAGATACAAGCGCTGTACAGGGTATATGCGTGTATGTGCCAGGGTGCATGCAGGGGTGTGTCTATGTGTGTATGTGTGTGCACAGCGGTGTGCAGGGGTGTGAGGCTGTTTGCAGCAGGAGGTGTCTCTGTGTGTGTGTGTCCGTGTGCAGGGATGTGAGGCTGTTGGTGGCACGGTGTGTGTCTGTGTGTGCGTGTGTGTCCGTGTGCAGGGGTGTGAGGCTGTTGGTGGCACGGTATGTGTCTGTGTGTGCGTGTGTGTCCGTGT